ACGGTGCCTTTCCAAATTCTGGATTTTGACGACCCTTTCCAAAATCTGGTGCAAACACCATTGAGGTTGCTAAATGTTCTAGAAGAGTTACAGGTCAGCACTCAACAGCCTGCATACCCATGTTCCTGGCAGGCTTTTTGAATTTATTGATTAGTTATAGGGGGTTAGGACTGGGATATGTCAGTGTGGTAGTTCTAACCCTTCAGGGCCTGTTTGGTTCACAAGAAGAACGTAGGAAAAACAGAGAATACACTTCCTATAATTTTTTTCACTGTAGCAGCGTTTGGAATGCGGGAACGAGCACTGAACTTTCCTCCGGAACGGTGAAGAAGTCTGTACTTTTGGAGGAATGAAAGAATCCACTCTCTGCTAATGAAAATTTTCCTGCGTGCGTGGCTGCGTGCTCGAGCACTAATCGAGTTGTCATTCAGAGCTACAGTTCTTCATATGCTACTTGTGGAGCCCCCTTCCCTGCTTTATTTGATATGTACGTACCAGATTTATAAAAAGGAAAAATATTTACTATTAATTTTAATTTAAAGCATTGAGTTTCCAGCTAAATCTAAAATTCCTATATCAGTTATGTTCCTGTGTTCCAAACACATGTTCCTGTAAAATTCCTATGTTTTTCAATCCTCTGTTTTACACCTTCATTCCTTTCCTATTCCTCTGTTTTCTCTCGTTTCTGTATTTTTTGTTCCTTTGTTCCAAACAGACCCTCAACTGAAAAAACACGAAGGGTTAGGATTAAACTTCCTTTGTATCCTAACTCTTATGCCATCTCTATATCCTCAATCTAAGTACCCTTTTGTTTGTTTAGTAAATCTCCAAGGTCACTTTGTCTTTATAATTTACTTCACTGTTAATTTAATCATCTAACTCTCCTACAAGCACCAAATTTGCTAGCAGCAGCACAAAAGTGAAGGATTAGGAATCGGTACTGCGTAGGATGAACTATTTTAGATTCCATTGTCACCGAAAGCTGATAAAATGATGTAGTTGCTTAAGAAATAACTATAATATGGATCTTTTTTCTGCAGATGATCTGCATTTTCAGCAAGTGTACAAGTTCATCAGTGACATATTCTACTCGAACAAGCCAATTCCAGTTGAAGGCCACTTCACTGTTATTTTAATCATCTAACTCTCCTACAAGCACCAAATTTGCTAGCAGCAGCACAAAAGTGAAGGATTAGGAATTGGTACTGCGTAGGATGAACTATTTCAGATTCCATTGTCAATGAAATTTGAGCTGATAAAATGACGTAGTTGCTTAAGAAATAACTGTAATAAGGATCTTTTTTCTGCAGATGATCTGCATTTTCCGCAAGTGTACAAGTTCATCAGTGACATATTCTAATGGAACAAGCCAATTCCAGTTGAAGGCCATTAGGAGAAATTGACTATCACTGCCAAGATGGTTAGTATTTGGTGTAACTTTTTTCCTCATCTGGCAATTCAGGTTTATTCAATCTTACTAAGATTAAATTAAAAATATTCTTGTAGATATTGTTGATGCTAATAAGTCTAAATAATAACATATCAGACCCTTTATTTGAATGTACTTGGACTGGGAATCGTTCATTGAAACAAAGGTCTGTACATGTAAGCTGATGCCAATGTATATTCTACCATAATCTCTATATTCCCATAGATATATTATTTTACAGATTTAGGTAGTAGTCAATTTATAAAAAGTGAAAATTAAACACCAACTATCCAGGGGAATTTGTTATGAATTTGATTTAGTGTTTGAGCAGGAGTAGACTAGAAATAGGTTGTAGTAGTTCATTTTAGTTCCTTATAACTCATTCATGCTTATATCTTTTTATTACAATTTCTTTCATCCAAATATTATGTGATGTTACTTATTGTTAGAGTAAATAGGAATAGTACAACATTGCCTACCCAATTGGGGTGTTAGTCCTATGTACCCTATATAATCAGCCCATGAGGCCCAATGCAATACAACAATCATCCCACCAATTCTATTCTCCTACATGGTATCACGCGTCTAGGTTTAGATCCTAACCCTAGCCACCACAGCTTCCGCACTGCGCGCCCCGGGGAGAGATCGATCTTCGCTGGGGGCAGCGCCACCGTTTAGGCACTGGTTCCTATTGATCCTGTTGTCATCTTCGTCATCGCGCAGTAGATCAAGATCTCCCTTGTGCGCTCGTCGTCGCCGGGCTACCGCCGCCTGCCCTTTCGTGCTGCCCCTAGGGGCGGTGCCGGGCCACGCCATCTGTAGGGTCGAGATGGCGGACTAGAGGGGGGTGAATAGTCCTTTCTTAAAACTTAATCTCGTCGGCTAAACGAAACAAGTGCGGAATTAAAACTATCGGTCTAGCCAAGACTACACCCCTCTATCTAAGTTCTCTAGCACCTTGCAAAGATACTAATTAAGCAACTAAGGTGCCAAGCTTAGCAAGAGCTCACCTAAACAATTATAGTGGCAATGTCACACAAACATATGCAACTAGTACTTTGCCAACCGGGAGAGCTCCTACACAATTCTAGTAAGCAAAAGCACAAAGGCCCTAAGCTCACTAGCAATGCTCAATAACAAGGCAACCGATGCCAAATTAGAGAGCGCAAATTACTTAGCTACACAAACTAAGCAATGTGACTAACAAGGTTACACAAACCAAATTAGTCACCCAAGGGAGCTACTTCTATGCTACACAAGCAAGAAGGTAATTAGCAAGCTACACAAGCAAACTAATTACAAGAGCAACTACACAAGCACAATGTATGAAATGTAAATGCAAGCTTGTGTTTCGCGGAATGCAAACCACCGAGAAGATGATGAAGACAATGTTGACACGGTGATTTTCTCCCGAGGTTCACTTGTTTGCCACCAAGCTACATCCCTGTTGTGTCGACCGCTCACTTGGTAGTTCGGCGGCTAATTGGCATCACCCGCCAAGCCCACACGTCGGGCACCGCAAGAACCTACCCCGAAAGTGAGGGTAGCTCAATGACACGCTCAACTAGAGTTGCTCTTCGTGATCCCTGCGGGGTGGGCACAATCCCCCTCACAAATTTTCCTCCGGAGCTCCGCACAATCTTCTTGCGAGCTTCAACATAGTCGCAAGCCACCAAGCCGTCTAGGAGGTGACAACCTCCAAGAGTAATAGGCATCACCAGCTTGCAACACGATCACCTAGTGCCACTCGATGCAATAGCACTATAATCGCTCACTCACTCAATCGGATGAACACTGTAACACCCCAGGTGTTAGTCACATGTTAAGCAGTAGATTTGAGCTCATACATGGCAGGTTAAGCGGTGATGAAGATGTCAAGGTCAATCTATGAAAATGAGCCCCAACTTAAACTTGGACAATGCATCTTTGCTTATATGTTGACCCCTTCCAAAATGTATGCTTGAGTAATGTTGAAGGTGCTCCTTTCATATGTCTCACATTCATCTCTATCTATATTGATCACTGGAAAAGTTTTGTGAAGTTTGGAATCAAAAAGTCACATGAAATGATAAGTCATATTCTTGCCTGGATTGTACTATTAAGTGAATGAGAACATGAGATGCCAACCAAACCTTGCAACCTTGCTCAAAGGACTCTAATTGAACTCTACAACAAAAGCCGTGAAGGGTTCATGTTGAGCAAATGTCACGAAAATGCTTCTAAAGTGTTGGAAAAGCTAGAAGTGTCTGTTTCATGATAGGGTTTTGACCGATGTTGACCAACTGTTTGGAGTGCTTGCATGGCAGTGGAACCTAAATAAAAGTTGTAGTACATATCATGAAGAACAAACTTTGTTTAAGGATCAAGAGTTGGTTTGGTCCCTAAACCTAGTCAAATAGAACTCTCAAGAATCAACTCAGTGATGTTTTGAAGCTCCAAAAATCGGCTAAAGTGTTGGAACTGAAGTTTTCAGTTTTCAGTTTTCGTGTAGCCATCTTTGGGAATTTTAGTTTGTAAACCATGTCGAATTTGGCCAAACTACTTTAATAAAAGTTGGATTACTCTTGTATATCTACACAACGGTGCAATCGGTTGAACAAATCATCATTCGGTTTAGGAGTTACAGAGGGAGGAAATATGGAGTTTCAGTGTATTTTTGCGGTAGTATTGCTTCCTTCAGTTTTTGAATTGCAGCAGCAACTGTGGCCGACCGGGACAGAGCGCTCACGCCGCGTGGCGCCCCCGCTCGCTCGCGTGCACGCCACCTCGCCCAGCTTGTTCAATTGGAGAAGCCGGCACCCTCTGCTCGCATTCACTCCCTCACTCGGTCTTACTCACTCTCCCTCGCTCTCTGATCGCTCCAGAGCGGAGACACCATGGACTTCACCGTCAAGCTCCATGGTCGCCGCCGTTCTCCTGCCTCCGCGCTCCCTCTGTCCCAATCGAGTGCGGCATCATCTTGTCCAACTCGCGCCGCACCTCCCGCGCCTCTTCCCCAGCTCCGACCACCGCCGCAGCGTCGCTGCCTCCTGCTGCTGTCGCCTCGGGCCGTCGGCGCGCGTGGCCAGGCCACCACGGGCCACCGCGGGGCAAACCGCGGCTACCAGTGGGTGCGCGCGGGCCTCCCGGTGCTCCTCCGACATTCCATCTCCGCCGACGAGCCTCCTCCGGCCGACATCGACAAGCTCCAGTGCTTCCTCTGTTCTCAATCGCGATCAAGGACTTCTCGCAGCAATTAGGAGAAAGGGAGGGTCTTTCTGTGAAGTCTATGACTCATGTGAATAGTGCATTTTGGATCTATTTGTTTTAAATCTGCTAAAACTTTGAAAATGCATATAAAATCGTAGAAAAATAGTAAAATAGCAAATGAAGATATTTTGAAATTCTTGTGAAATTTTCTATGCAGTAGATCTATAATATAACATATTTTAGTTTAAATTTTTAGCTATAAAAATAGATTTATGCTGCTAGGTTTTTAATGGTAGTTCGGATGAGTGCCTATCTTTCTAACGGTAAAAATGTAAAAGGCCCCCTTCTCCGCAGCTTCCCCTCCGGCCGGCGGTCCCTGGTGATGAGCCACCGGAGGCGATCTCGCGCTGCCGGCTCGCCGCATGGCGACGCCGGTCCGGACCCTACGCCGGAGAAGTCGGGACGGATCCGGCCGTGGGCGGTGCTGGGTTCGGACCGGAGGGTGCTGGCGCTCGCGCTGGCGTTCTGCGCGGCCAACGCGCTGGTCGTGCGCACCTACTTCAACCCCGACGAGCACTGGCAGTGCCTCGAGGTCGCCCACCGCGTCGCCTTCGGGTAACCTCGCCCTCGACTGGCCTCTGCTGCCTGTTTCGCTGGTGTTAGTTACAGTGCGCCCCGAATGGGATCCGCTTGCTGCTCACTGCTTAGCTCGAGGGAATGAGATGGTTTCCCTGCGAAATGGGGGCTGCTTAGCATTGTTCTCGGAAATTTGATGCCCAAACGCTAAAAGGTTTTGTTCTCTTGCGGTTGGGTGCAGGTATGGTCACCTTACATGGGAGTGGAAGCAGGGCCTGCGAAGTTACCTCCACCCGTTGATCTTTGCTGCTTTCTACAAGATCCTGGCGCTGCTCCACCTGGGCACTCCATGGGTTATGGTAATAGCCTAAGCAGTCTATGTCAGCTCTAGCAGAGCATCACTTCAATTGCGGGAGAATGGTAAATAGTCACGAGCTCGCGGGGCTAGAGTTGTCAGGGATCAGGATTTATATTTTCTAGTGTAGGTTTGACAGTACTACCAGGAACGAAACTTCTCTAATCAGTACCAATGGGTTGCCCCTTTTTGAAAGAAATATTCAAGATCAAGAATTATTCTGACAAATGACTTGGCACTCGGTTTGAGACATTGTGTTAGCCTTGTGATACCGGCCTCTTATCTTAATAAACATATGAAAACGTAGTTTAATCTTAATTATAAAGTATAAACTACCTATAAAGTATAAACTACCAAGTTGCCAGCTTAATTTGAACATCAAGCTTCATGAGAACCATGTCTATTTTGCTCCAACAAAAGCCACGTGTATCATAACTCAGTACACTAGCCAGCTTCATCCTTTTCACATTCTGAGGGGGAGCATTTCCTTAGCTGTTTCTCTGATTTCCTGTAGGTGATGGCTCCTCGTCTCCTGCAATCTGTGTTTGCAGCTTTTGGAGATCTATACTTGTATAAATTTTCCAAACTTATTTTCAATGGTCAGGTTGCCCAGTGGACAGTATCCTTAAACTCATCTATGTAACTATACGATTTCCTTCATGAGTATATAACTTCAATAACCTTGGATGTCGGCCTTAACAAACTGTTTGCAGTTATTTTCCCAGTTGGTTAACTGGTTCATGTTCTTCTGTATCACGCGGACTCTATCAAACAGCTTGGAGACTGTTTTGACTATGGCTGGACTATATTACTGGTTTATTGCAATAGAGTCTTCCAAGGCAACCTCAATCGTTTCAAAGCAGCATGCTGCCTGTAAACAAAGTGTCTCATCAAGAAAAGTGGCTCTTCTGATAGCAGCCTTGTCCTGTGCCATTCGGTCGACAAGTTCTGTAACATGGCTATATGTTGGTCTTTTGGATTTTATTCAGATGAAATCAAAATGTCGTTTTGTCCTTCTTGATGTCATTCCAGTAGGGTAAGTTATTGTTAATGGCAACTTTCTATCTTTCGTTGTCTAAGATTTGTGAATTTTACTACACGGGCTTATCTTTATTGTTTCTTGATTTCGCACACTGGACATATGCACAATGCTGACATTTTTTTAAGTTGACCATGTCTTGTCAAGTCCCACCCCCATCCTCAATTCTTTGTTTTTTGTTTCTTTCCTGGGAGGACATATGTTGCTTATCTGTTGATTCTGTTGTGATGCCATTTTTTTTTATCTTTCCCAATGTATGAATATTCTATATAAGTTATTTGTTTAATCTTTCTGCAGGGCCGTTGTCCTTGCAGTAACAACACTCCTTGATTGATGGATGTATGGTTCCCGGGTCATAGTGCCACTTAATTTTTTGAAATTCAACCTCTTCTCTTCGGGAGGAGACTACTACGGAACACATGTCTTCCACTGGTACTTTACACAGGGTTTTCCATCCATGATTTGGACACTCTTACCGTTTGCAGTGCGGTACTGTAAAGTCTCAGGAATGGAGACTTTCAGGTCTAATTGCTTGGGTATTAGGGGTTTACAGCATTTTTGGACACAAAGAATTCAGGTATTCACCTTTTCTTGTAAGTGTACAGTGCCCTTATAGTCAAGTAACCTCTTCTCGTTATTCACATGATATGATACAAATATATTGAATATTGCAGATTTACTCTTCTGGTGCTACCTTTAGCATTGATGCTCTCAGGTTACTGCTTAGCTGCCATGTCACCATTCAAGGGCAAAAATCAGCATGGTAAAAGAAGCCTTTCAAGGCTGCAACTTTCTGTTATTCTTCTCATCATAACCAATGTTCCCATGGCCTTATATATGTCCTTATTCCATCAAATAAGTTTTCCCTATTTCAATATTGTTGTATTGCTCTATGCATCTATGGATTACTTTTGTTGCTTCTCCATTATTTCCATTTGTATCCCATATTCAACACTCATTGTGGCAGAGGGGAACAGAAGACGTTATGTATTAGGGCCTGTTTGGCAGGGCTCTGGCTCATCTGAAAATGGCTCCGGCTCTGGCTCCTCTGAATGAGCAGCTCCTCTGGAGGAGCTGAAGCCGTTCTGGAAAACGTTTGGCAAAACGGCTCCTTCGCACTAGACGACGTGAACCCACAGCAAGGAGCCGCGCGAAGCTCGTTTTTGAGGCTTCTCCTGCACAGGCAAAAAATGGCTCCGGCTCTTGACCGGCTCCCCATGCGGAGCCCTTTCCAAAACAGGCGTTTGGCACAGCTCCTGCAGGAGCCGGAGCTGAAGCCCCTGCAGGAGCCCTGCCAAAGAGGCTCTTATTTGTCAAAAGAAGCCCATGATGGAAGAGTGAAGGGTGTCCTTTTTCTCATGCCTTGTCATTCAACACCTTACTACTCAACCTTACATTACAATCTACCTATGCGCTTTTTGGACTGCACTCCTAGGTGGTTTTTTTCTTTGTTCTTTTGAATGCAAAAATATTTAACCTTTCATATCTATACTTGTGCTTGAATACATACGTCCCTGCTGACTCTTTTTACTGCACTCAGTGATAACAAAGGGACCTTGGATGAGTCGGATCGTTTCCTTGCAAGCCCATCTGAGTTTGTGGGCGAGGTTTCTGGAAATTTATCTACATTCAGTCACATTATATTATTTGAGTCCAAAGAAAGACATGTTTTCCAGTTGCTTGTGCACAATTCCATTCTTGAGGTAATATGCCATTGTACCTTAGATATCACGCGGTTTCTTTTTCACTTCAGGGTTCAATAGACATGCATTAGCTACTGCTTTCCACCGTTATTATTTGCCAAGCAGTATCTGTTACTAACTAGTGTAGGAATTTCCATGAATTTGGCAGTATTCTAGCCCTCTAGGACACTGTTTACCACATAGCGCAACTCTACAGTTTTTTATGGAGTCCTGATTAACATAAGACATTTTCTTATTTATCATTTTGAATCTTAAATTGCTTACAAATGCAAATATTTGGATGCCTTAACAGAAAAATCCTTTTGATTGCCCTGCTATTTCATTAGAACCACATACATACCTAATTCCTTGTATTTTGAAAGAAGATGACAGAAAAATATGCCATATGCTTGATTCAGAGGGAGCACACGGCAATAATGATAGGATTTCTTGTTTTGTAACAGTAGTACTCAAACTCATTAATAACTGTTATGGTTGGCAGGTGAAGAGATTTTTCCACTCCCATTTCAAGGTTGACAGAGACTTTCAGTCGTCTGTTGTGGTTTATTCACGGAAGGATGCGTTATTTAGTACTGATGTAGCAGAAAAAGCCTGTTAGCTCGTCTAACAATCTCCACATGTTTCATGTTGTTTTAGCTTTTCATTTGAGAAATGAGCTGTAACACTGTTGAATACTTCTGATATCTTGACCCCTTGAAACGAGATGTTATGTTACTTGTACTCAGGTGCTTTACGACGGCATAACAATTCACATCTTGCATTGAGTCTCTATGTCGATGATATGTGCTTCTAAGATAAATTTGCAGCTTTAATGATTTTTTATATTTAACTAAAATGTACGAAGAGCAGCCTTTCCTAACGTCAAATGACAGAAAGGGATAGTATTGGGCCTGTTCGGTAGGACTGAAAAATACTGTTCCGGCTAATTGTTGTAAGAGAAAAATACTGTTCTGGCAGGACGTGAACAGTGATTTCGTGAGAGCAAGAACCAGCCAGCCAGCCGGCTTAAAGCCAGCCGAACGGGCTCATTAGTGACGTGTGGTCACAACATTAGCTTTCTGGGATGGGTAAAATAAACCACTTTTGGGGTATTATGGGACAAGGATCCATGGGTTTATAGGTATGGATCAAGGACCCACGTGTGGTCACAACATTAGCATGTTCGTTTGGCTGTGGCTTGTCGTAAACGATAGTAAATTTTCAGCCGGAACAATATTTTTCTCTCACACAAACTAGCCAGTAGCACTTCTTCACGAACCAGCAACGAAACGAACCAGCTAACCGAACAGGCTGATAGGAGCATACTCCAACCTGGTAGACCCGATGGGTTAGGCCTTTTGCCCATTAACAGACCCATGGGTTAGGAAATCGGCCTAAACCCATATCTTAGCAGAATAAAGTCCACCGGCGTCTCTACTTATGCCGTGCTGCCACCGTGCTTGATTGAGGTGTGTTGGCTCATTCATTTCTTTGTTAACTTTCAAATATTTACTATGAGCATAATAAAGAAGAGACTTTTCTCTGTGTGCCATTATAAAAGATCGCAATCCCCTGTGTGTCCCTGAAAAAATTCAGCGGTCTTCAACGCCACTACTTCAACTTTGGAAGGTCCTCCATGCCACTTCCGTCGATTCGGGCTCTACTTGCCGTCAAAGCTGCCAGTATGAAAAAAACGAAAATGATAAGTTCAAATATGTTATTAATTTTTTGAGCATCTTGCGACTTCAAATGAAAAACTTAAACTAGAAAGTTGTAGATCTATGATATGAGATCTATAATTTTCATAAAAAAATTATTTTCATTTAATTAAATAAAAAATGATTTTATATGAAAATTAATATATCTTAGAGAAAACTTTCTCATTTTGAGTTTTTTTTGAAGTCGAATTAAGATGAAAAAAATTAATAACATATTTGAATTTAAGGGCATTTTCGTCTTTTCACACCTGTAGTTTGACGGCGTTAGAGTCTGAACTGACGGAAGTGGCATGGAGGACCTGAAAAAGTTAAAGTAGTGGCGCTGAAGACCGCTGAATTTTTCCAGGGGCACAGAGGGGATTACGATCTTTTATAATGGCACACAGGGAAAAGTCTCCAAACGGTTAGGTGACCCAGCGGCATTCCTCAGTTCCTGGGTTCGACTCCCCGTGGGAGCGAATTTCAGGCTGAGGTTAAAAAAATCCCCTCACCCGTCCCCATAACCAAAGGACTGGGGGGCACCGGCCCAATTCTCACTTGGACGACGAAAAGCCACCGTGTAAGGGTGGGGGCACCGGCCCAATTTTCACTTGGGCGACGGAAAGCCACCATGTAAGGATGGGGGCGGGGTTCGGGGGTTTTCTTGGTCGGGTGAGAAGGTCCTTCTTCTTATTTGTAATGCTGCGGGGCAGTCTTAACCCCCGGTCGAGTTTTTTTTATATCTCAACTCTCCTTTACTAGTTCACAGCATATAGGCAATGCAGAGTGGCATGTTGACAAGATATCTTCCACAAATTATGTTCTTATTTACATATAGTCACATACCGTGAGAGTTTTGTTTGTATCTTTGGGAAGCACAAGGTCCACCATCCTCTCCATATCGAATCTGATTCATTGGTATCTCCGGTCTCATTTCTTTGTGAATTTACCCCCAAATTACTATACATCATGTTTCATGCTAGTACAATAAACAACTATTTGTTTCTTCTGCTCCCTTTTAGTCAATAGATTAATGAATAATTTAGTTTGTGTCTCACCTCATGAAGTAACATGGTGAGTTGATGGACCTTGTTTTCACCTTTTATGATGTTGCAAATAGAACTTAATCCCAATACCCCATGATTTACCTGTCTGACCAAATGCAAGTTTTATTTGACTAATTTTGGCATGACCAGGTCTCAATACATCCTAGCATTTCATTTTTTTGTATTGTTCATTACTAGTGTCTTTTTTTTCTAAAAACGCAGAGCTACGTATCAATATATTAAGAAGAAAAAATGGGTGTAAGAAAACCCAAGGTACAGCCAGGTTTTTAAGGAAAAAACTGAGCAGAAAAACCTGTCACCTTACAAACCTGTTGCCCATGTAGGAAGGACCACACCCAAACCTAGCACTAAGCTACACCGACCAAGGGGCAGGGCGAGGAGATGAGAAACTCCTCTCTAGCTCCAGCCATACCCCACAGGTGCATTTCCTCTCTCAAAATTCACAGAACTCCCATTAGGCTTGGGGAAATCCCATCAAACACACAATGGTTTCGGTGGTTCCAAATTGACCAGGCCCAAGAATGATAATGGAATTCAGGCCCTTTTTAACTTAGACCCTCAATTCTATTGCTTGCTGTTTCCCACCAATCTTCGAAAGAAACATTCTCTAACTGTGGGGTCAAGATAAAGATGTTCCCAGCAAATGCTTCAGACAAAGCCGTGATATTATTTTGCTGAAACAAAATCGAAGAAAACTTCAGGTGTAATGACAGAGAAAACTAGCACAATCTGAAGCGTTCTTGCTTCCGAACATCATACTTGGCAGCTGTCATCCGGTAGAAAACATTACATTGCAACATAGGTACCCGATCTTGGCTCTGGTCCATTAGGAATTTAGGCATTTTCATGTTAAATTTAATCTAGAAAAATAATAGTAAATTTGTGACAATAAATATGAGCACGTGTGTATTACCAGTGGCAACTATGATGAACATACGGATCATGGCAGAACCAATATTGAATTTCACAAATTTAGAGAGGGAATTGTACCCTGTGGAGGGACCCATGCTCAAGGCACCCGTGACTCCATTCACATGAGTTGAGATCGTGTGTTGCTCGAAGTCACAGACCTCTGTTGGTGCATAAAAATGTTCGCAGTGCAGTCCCTTGTAACACCCTCGATGTTACACCGTAAATTATTTACTAAAACATGTCATGAGCATCATGTTTATGTGTAAATGCATGTGATAAAGTGTGTAGATCAATTTCCGTAACTAGAAACGATCAACAAAAATGCAAAACGAAAGTTGATTCAATAGTCATGTTATATCACTTAGGGTTTAAAACCAATTTTTATTAAGCAAAAATGCTATAGAACATGTATGTGAAACTTAAATAAAGTTTGAAGTATAAACTTTGTAGATGATAGTGAAATACTTGCGGTCGAAAAATAATGTTACTAGCTGGTATTTCTAATAGTCTAGAAACAGAACTTGAAATCAAATTCAGCTCAAAAACTTAGAAATTTTTAAGTCTGCCAACAATTAGACACTGCTATGTTTAGCAATTTATTGTGAGAGATTGGGTTAAGGAGTGGTGTAGTGTTATAGCTCGATTTGGTAGTCTCATGTGCCATCTTGTGCATGGTGAAGACGGTTTAGGTTTAGGAGCAACTGTTTGGTCGTGATGAATGCTTTAAAAGTCGTGTGTGTCATGGTTTCGGGCTAGTTGGCCGCGATCACCGCGCTCGGGCGCTCGGCGTCGCCGCGTTGGTCGCGCGTGTGCGTGCGCGAGCTACCGCGCGCGGCTGGCCGTGGCCGCCTCTGGCCTGGCCAGGTCTCGGCTGCCACTGGCCCCGCCACGCGGAGCCGCCGCCGCTGCTGCCGACTGCCCTGCACGCGTCGCGACGGAGCCGCTGCCGGCGCCATCAACTCACCGTCGCGTCCGCACTGCCGACCCGCCTCGCGTCACGACGCTGCCGCTACTGACGCCACTGCAACGCTGTGCTGCTACCGCTTGCCTTGTCCTAGTTCGCGCGTGGGTTGCCCCGCGCTGTCGTCCCACCTTAATGGTGCTGCGGCCGCGCCTGCCGCGCCCCCACCTGCCTCTGCACGCGCACGTGGTTTGGCCGCATTGTCGTGTAGCGGGTGCGCAGACGCCGCCTTAAGTCCGGTCAGCCGCGTCCCGCCAAGGCATGGACGAGCCGAACCCACTGTCGCGCCCCATCTCTCTCTCCCTCTGTTTTTCGCCGCTGTCGGGTCGCGTCATGGTGAGCCAGAGAGCGAGCACCTCTCATCAATTTCTCGTGCTCGCGTCTCCGCCTTCACGTCCCCTCTCCAGCCGACCCCACCTCACCTTGACTCGCGCCACGCCGAGCTCCAATTTTGGAGCTTTGCCGCCACCGTGCCGTTAAGGCCCGTCGTCGCCCGCGTCGTGGCCAGTCTCCACCACTTCATTCCGCGCCAATTCCTCTGCACCACTAGCTAGCCTTGGCTCCCTCTTCGTCATGCGCACGCTAGTCACAGCTCTAGTGCCGCCTCCTCGCCGCTAACGCGGCCATGCCTTTGCGGTCCGCCGTTCACCTCGCAGCGCGCATGTGGCCAGCCACGCTCGTGTTGTCTCCGGCCGAGCTGACTTCTCGGTAAGGTCACCGATGAGTTGTCGTTGCTCACCCGTTACCCGTACCGCCTTGTTGTTGCTGCGGCACACCTGAACATCGTCGCCATTGTCGTAGGGTGCCTGCCGTCGTGGAGAGGTCCTTCTACGGTGTCCCAACTCGTGCAACCACCGCCATCGTCTCGCGTCGAACCTTAGGTGAGCGTCGGTCTCATAGATAGGTCAGTGTGGGTGCAGTGTGCCTGGCGTGAGCGCCAGTGCCACCGCTCGCCGCGCCAGCACACGCGGGGATGGTCGAGGGCCTTGCCGTTGTAAAGAGGAGAAGATCCGAGGGTTTCGTTGCAAAGTCGCTATCTATAGAAATAGTAACGTAGACTGCGGGTTGTTTTGCTCATAGTCCAGGGGCGTTTTTGCAAGAGTGCCAGCGCGCGGGCTTCCTCGCCGCGGGCCGTCTCCGCGCGTGGGCCTCGCCTCGCCTATGGGCCACCGTGCCCTCGCGCGCGCGAGCTTGTGGGCCGCGTTGGGCCGAAATCAATTTAGTTTTTTCGTGGAGAATAGAAATAGCTTTTCATTTGTATTTCTGAGCTGAACTTTGGTAATTAATATAAAAACATGTAGGTATCCAAAAATTATGAAACCAATTTTGTTGAGTTCCTAAAATTGTGCTCTATCTATTAGTGTATTTAGTTCATATATGTGCTTGTTGATACCAGTAGCTATTAAATCATTTGAGAGTGCTTAATATGATTAGGTTAAATATTGTAGGAATTTTTGTGCTAGATTGGTAATAGCAAAAACTCTGAAATTTTTACAATAGGTTCATTGTATTATTATGTGCTTATTGTAATTTTTGTAGCTTTAGAATAGACTTAACATAAATGTAGTTAAATGCTTTTTGTTTTAAATATACATTAAATCATTAGTAGAAATAAAGATATATTCTTCATTTGTAAAGCTAGGTGTTTGTTAGTTGAATCCAACACTTTACTTGAGGAAGATGATAGTTAGCTTAGTATCTTAGTCATTAGAGCTAGCTTAGTAGTTTACCATGTGTATTTTTATTTTAAAAGTTGCTGTTGCCGAAATGCTAAGTGTTGCATTCTTGCTTCTCAATGATATCCCTCTCTCTTGAGGAAAAAATGCTGTTAAATCAGTCTATTCTTTTCATTGCAGCATTACTAGGAGATTCGTCACTTAAGAGATGCTGTTCTCTGCCAGCATCTGGAGCAGATACCAATTCGTGCTCATCTGAAACCATCACCTTCTTCTCAGCGGCAGACGCGCTATCTTCAGTGCCATTTGTGAAGTTACCATGAAGATCCATTGCCTGCTTCGGCAAATTGTGGTCACTTCTCAAGTTAGCAGATGAGCTCTCATGTGGTGATAATCTATCATTGATTCTTCCACCTGGTTTATGTGCAACCTTTTCTTTTAAGATACCTATTTCTTTATAGAAAAATTCTGCGAGCTCCTCACTGCATTCATATTTCAAGCCATCTGAAGCAAGGGCAAGTGATTCTCGATGATCCAACTTAGTGTATTTCAGAAAAGAAGCAGCACGCCAAGACTGAAGCAAGTAATAAAGAAATTTATCGTATTTGGTAAAGCCGATGTAAAAGCAAACAAAGTAACACTAGTTGGTGCCTCTCTTACCAATGCTATGTTGAACGCATGCAGTATGCACCGTGGCTCCCGCACAACTAGATGATTCTTTAAAAGATATTCAAGGAACTGCTTGGCCAGAAAGTGTACATTATCCTGCAGTTGTTAAGAATGAAAAAGAGTTCAGAACCAGAGGAACAGATACTTCCACAAATAATGAAATCAGAATGACACTAAATGCAACAAGAGGGGCAGAGAGGGAGGAAAAAAGTTAGCAGAAAGGCTTTTCATGTTAAAATAGAACAAGCAGTAGTAGATCGCCGCTTCACATATGCATCAAGAATATATAACCATTAAGTGTATCACAGGAAGTCCTAGCAAGTGCATAAGAGCAACTCTGAACTGCAGACACTGTCCTTGTTTCTAGTTTAGAGCAAAAGAAAAAACAATAGAAGAGCTTAGACTATACATACTGGTAGCTTTAACACCATCATTAGCTTTGACAGCTCATGCTTAATTTCAGCGTGAAGACTTTTGGGTGTGCTCATGTTTTCCACTCCTTCAAAATGAACTTTATTAGAAAAATGTAATATGTACACCTACAGAACAAAAATACTAACTTCAGATTGTAATTTCAGATTGTTTTACCTGTCTCAGGAAGTAGATGAAGGTCAGCACTTGATGGAGTACTAATTTCAGGAAGCAGGTCATGATTAATTACATCCACACGGAACTTTGAAGAACCTGCAGTTTCACATGTGTTTCTACGCTTCCTTCTGGATGTGTTAGTTTCTTCAGTGGTAACTTCGATTGGTTTATAGCGCTGACAATAAGATTTCCCATCCAGCAAATTTAACCAGAATTTAGGTGGATCTCCATCCAGTGAAGACACCCCCTCCTTCTCTCCTATCAGAGTAATGTTTCTTGAATAAAACTCACCACTCATGCAAGCTTTTGATATGGTTGTACTATTTACTTTGCTGCTATCTTCAACCTCAGTAGACAGTTCAGTTAAGAATTCCAAAATTACTTTATCCATAAAGATTGTGCCCCTTTCATTACTTTTACTTGCGCAGTTATCTTGTTGAAGCTCATCAACTCTGTTGAAGAGGAATGATACACCCCAGCTGACCAAGCAATGGCTTAAACTAAATGTTATGTCTTGGCTGTTGCTATCAATAACCATGCTTTGCTTGGCGAGTACAAGACTCTTCTCCTCCACTGTGAAAGGAGTATATAAGCGGAAAATGCGCACATACTTCAGTTGCGACCCTATCTTGAGCTTTCGAAGAGCCTTCAGATCATTTAGTGGATTCAAGTCACTACCATAAATGATAATGGAATCAATAGATGAAAGATTAATGCTGGGTTGGCATGCACGGCTATCGATCAGAAAAACAAATCTCCCTTTGGTCGTGTCGTTGAACATATTCATTGCTTCTTGCTTCATTGCAAATGCTGAACGGTTTTGAACACATTCGTATGACTCGGGGCCAAATTTATGGCGCACGAGGTCTTCCAAGATGTTGCCCATTCGGTCTCCAACTGCCCCATCAGACTGCCACAATGCAAAAAAAAGAAAGAAAAGAAATAGTGCTGAACTCATAGATTGAAGCATGCCCTTGATGCATGCTAACTGCAGAAGGCTAGCATAAGCAAGAAAAATGTAGAAGGCAAAGTTAATACCAGTAACAGAGAGAATGCCACAGTTCAGAATAAGCTAATTAGAATTATCTACTATCCAGTTCCTAATAAATCGTTTTTACTGGTTAACGTTGGAGTTAGTTAACCAATATAGCTTGAAACCTTTGACGATGATAAAATTGATAAATTGAGTATAACATAGAATACCAAGGAAAGCCAAATATTTGAGTAATTATGCTTGTAATGACTGCTAAACTAAGAATCTAGTGAAGTAAGAGAAATTAGCTAATCTACTGCCACCTTGTGTGAACACAGCAGAGGAAGGCGGCGCCGACTTTGCCCCCTGTTGTGATACTGTAGCCGCTGCAGATGCAGGCGCCGCACGGCTCACCTGCAGCACTGTAGGCACATGCAGTGGCCGGCGCAGAGTCAGCCATGTATGCTTATCTAGTTATTGTTACAGCATGTGTGCTGTACTTTAGTTAGATAGATAGAGTTGTATAAATAGGGCACCAAGGCAACTCAGTAAAGAGAGCTCAGATTTGTCATCACACAGACAGGGCATCGGCCAATGTTGTTGTCTTGTATTGTGCGTGCTTGCTCTGTTCTCCCTTCTTCTTCTAGCTCGATCCGTAGTGTGTGGGTACGGACAAAGCCGGTATGATGGTCGGCACGGTTAGTGGTCTGGAGGCTGGAGACTAGTGGTCTGGGAGGCCAGGGGTCTGGAGACTAGTGGTCTGAAGGCTGAAGACTAGTGGTCTGGGAGGCCAGGGGTCTGGAGAATAGTAGTCTGGAAGGCCAGGGCTGTGAGGCTAGTGGTCTGAAGGCTATCTGGTTCACTGTCGTCAGACGGTGATCCCGTAGGTCAACAATTGGTATCGGAGTCTCGTACAAGCGTCGTCGTCATTCTAACCGATGGCGATGATAGGCGGTTTGGAGTTGGGCGACGGCAGTGGCACTGTCTTAGCTGCCCAGCCACTACCGGAGGTAGTTGTCTGCACGGTGCGGGAGGTCAGCGGCACCACTTGGTCGACGCTGACTCGCACTAACTATGGAGTGTGATCGGTGACCATGAAGGTCAAGCTCAGAGCCCGACGGCTCTGGAATGCTGTTGACAAGGGCATCGACGTGGAAGAAGACGACATGTCAGCGTTGGAGGCTATCCTCGCTGCTGTACCGGTGGAGTACAGGGAACCGTTGGGGACGAAAAGCTCAGCTAAGGAGGCGTGGGAGGCCATTGCGGCGATGCGCGTCGATTTCGACCGCGCAAAGAAGGCAACGGCCCAGCTTCTGAAGCAGGAGTATGCAAACCTCAAGTTCAAGGATGGTGAAATAGTGAAGGACTTTTCCCTCCGCCTGCAGACGCTCATCAGCAAGCTGAAGAGCCACGGCATCACCATCGATGAAGAGAAGGCGGTCTCCAAATTCCTCCACTCCGTGCCGGCAAAGTACATCCAGATCGCTCTCTCCATAGAGACGATGCTGGACTTGTCCACCCTCACCATCGAGGATGTGGCAGGCCGTCTGCGGTCAGTGGATGAGCGCCTGGAGCAGGTGACAGCAACGAAGGAAAGCGGGAAACTCCTGCTAACGGAAGAGGAGTGGGCTGCTCGACGAAACTCCGGGAAGGCAGCCTCCTCCAGTCGCGGTGGCAACGGCAAACATCGCGGCAGGGCTTCTTCAGAGAAGAAGCAAATCGACTCCAACGCCTGTCGGTGTTGTGGGAAGATGGGCCATTGGACACGGGAGTGCCCAAATCACAAGAAGGAAAAGAAGGCTCAGGCTCACCTGGCGAAAGCCGATGATCAGGATGAGGCCACTATCCTTATGGTGACGTTCTGTGCACTGCACGACATCGAGGCCATGGAGAGGGAAGAGGCGACAACGGTGGAAGGATCTAGCAAGGCCCTGAAGACCGTCAACCTCGACGAACCACATGCCCAAGTCCATCTCGGGCGTGTGAGCGCCGACCAAGAGCAGCCGTGGTATCTGGACTCTGGTGCTAGTAACCACATGACGGGCTCTAAGGACTCCTTCTCCGAGCTCGATGGCGATGTTACCGGTACGGTGAAGTTTGGTGATGGCTCAAGGGTGGCTATCCAAGGGCGTGACACCATCATCTTCAGATGCCAGAACGGGGAGCACCGCGCACTAACGGATGTATACTACATCCCGCAGCTGCGTTCCAGCATCATCAGCATTGGTCAGCTGGATGAGCGCGGTAGCGAGGTTCTGATCAAGGACGGCGTTCTGAGGATCAGAGACCGGGAGCAGCGACTTCTCGCCAAGGTGAAGAGGTCCCTGAACCGGTTGTACCTGCTCGACCTGAAGGTAGAGCAGCCGGTTTGCCTGGCGGCAAGGCACTCCGAGGAACCGTGGATATGGCATGACCGGTTCGGATATCTCAGCTTCGACGCGCTTGGTCGGCTGGGGAAGATGGTCTGAGGGCTACCCCACATCAAACACGGAGGCGAGTTGTGTGACAGCTGCCTGGCCGGGAAGCAGAGGAGGCTACCGTTCCCAAAGGCGGCCAAGTATCACGCGAAGGAAGCTCTCGAGCTAGTTCACGGCGACCTCTGCGGGGCGATCACGCCTGCTACATGCGGTGGTCGATGGTACTTCCTCCTACTCGTGGACGATTGCAGTCGCTACATGTGGCTGCAACTCCTGACGAGCAAGGACGAAGCGGTGGTGGCGATCAAGAAGTTCAAGACGCGCGCGGAGGCCGAGAGCGGCAAGAAGCTCCGCATACTGAGGACTGATCGGGGTGGTGAATTCACTTCGATGGAGTTTGCAACGTACTGCGTGGATCAGGGTGTGGGACAACATCACATCACGCCGTACTCGCCACAACAGAATGGCGTGGTGGAGCGACGGAACCAGACAGTGGTCGACATGGCCCGATCCATGATGAAGGCCAAAGGGATGCCGGCAAAGTTCTAGGGAGAGGCGGTGACCATGGCGGTGTTCATCCTCAACTGCGCTCCAACCAAGGCCCTAACAGGCAAGACACCGTTCGAAGCTTGGTACGGGAGCAAGCCGAATGTGTCATTCCTCCGGACATTCGGTTCCATCGGCCATGTCAGGAAGACGAAGCCAAACCTCACCAAGCTGGAGGACAAGAGCACACCCATGGTGTTCCTGGGCTACGCGGAGGGTACCAAGGCGTACCGGCTCTATGACCCACGCGGAGACAAGGTGACTGTCTCGCGCGACGTTGTGTTCAACGAGGAGGCGGCTTGGGACTGGAACAGTCTGAGCACGGGGGAAGCAGGAGGCTTCCCCAACACCTTCATCGTCGAGCACTTGGTCATCCACGGCGGTGGAGACGCTGCGGAACAGGTGCCACACACTCCGGGAGGAGCGCCGAGCACTCCGGTGGTAGAGTCGAGCACTTCTGGGGCAGTGCCGAGCACTTTAGGAGGGATGCCGAGCACTCTGGGAGGAGTGCGAGTACTTTTGGAGGGATGCCAAGCACGCCAGGAGTGGAGCCAGGAGGTTCTGCAGTGGTGGCAACCACTTCAGGACGGGTGCCGAGCACTCCCGTGGCAGAGCCAAGACGTCTTACTGTAGTCCCAACCACTCCAAGACTAAGGCTAGGCACTCCTACAGTGTGGCCAAACACTGCAGGAGTTATGACGAGCGGTCCAGAAGTAGTGCCGAGCACTTCGGGTGCTATGCAGGGCACTCCGGTGGAAGAAGGAACTCCATCACCCACCGATCGAGTTCGCCTCACCTCCAAGTGACATCACTGAGTTCGTGGACGCCTACCACGAAGGTGAGGAGTTGAGGTTCCACAGGCTGGACGACATCGTCGGCGGCACAGGTCCCACAGGTCTGGCGGGTAGGCTGCTCAACGACGCAGAGCTGCTACTCGTTAGTGCAGAGGAACCACCCACGTTCGTGCTAGCTGAGTGCAATGGAAACTGGCGACGGGCGATGCTGGAGGAGATGAAGGCGATCGAGGAAAACGAGACTTGGCAGCTCATCGATCCACCTCCAGGATGCTGTCCGATCAGCCTGAAGAGGGTGTACAAAGTCAAAAGGGACGAGCTCGGCGCCATTGTCAAGTACAAGGCATGCCTCGTCGCCCGAGGCTTTGTCCAGCACGAGGGCATCGACTTCAAGGAGATCTTTGCGCCAGTAGCACGCATGGAGTCGATCCGTTTGCTACTTGCTTTGCCGGTAGCAAAGGACTGGCGCGTCCATCACTTGGACGTTAAATAGGCCTTCCTCAATGGTGAGCTAGCGGAAACGGTCTTCGTCAGGCAACCTCCAGGGTTTGATGTCAAGGGAGAGGAGCACAAGGTGCTCCGACTGCGCAAAGCGCTCTATGGGCTGCGGCAAGCCCTTGAGCATGGAACGCCAAGCTTGACACCACGCTGGGCGAGCTTGGGTTTCAGAGGTGCGCAACCAAGCACGTGCTCTACACGCGACGACGGGGGAAGGAAGAGGTCGTGGTCGGCGTGTATGTGGATGACTTAATCGTCACCGGCGCGCGCACGGAGGATATCAACAGTTTCAAGCGAGAGATGGCAGCTCGTTTCCGAATGAGCGATCTCGGCACTCTCTCCTACTACCTCGGCATCGAGGTGATGCAGGGGAAGGAGGAACTCACGCTCGGGCAAAGCGCGTATGCCTCCAAGCTGTTGGAGAGGAGCGGCATGGTGGAGTGCAAGCCATGCGTGACTCCGATGGAGGAGCGGCTGAAGCTGACGAAGGACAGCACCGTGGCGAAAGTGGATGCAACACTCTACCGGAGCATCATCGGCGGTCTGCGCTATCTAGACCACACGAGGCCGGACATTGCGTTCGCCATGGGCTACGTCAGTCGCTTCATGGAGGATCCCAGAGAGGATCATTGGGCTGCGGTGAAACGGCTGCTACGCTACGTCAAGGGGACGGTGAATCATGGAATCATCTTCCCGAAGACCGGGGGAAGTAGGCTGCGGCTCACGGCGTTCAGCGATGCAGACATGGTGGGGGACATCGACGAATGATGGAGCACCTCTAGCATACTCGTCTTCCTCGGGTCAGCCCCAATTTCATGGTTGTCGCTGAAACAGAAGGTAGTAGCGCTATCTACGTGCGAGGCAGAGTACGTAGCGGTGGCCACAGCGGCGTGCCAAGTTGTGTGGCTACACTGGCTGCTGGGCGAGCTAACCGGTGTGGAAGCTCACCCACCAGCACTGATGGTGGACAACCAACTCGCCATCGCCCTCATGAAGAATCCGGTTCTGCACGACCAGAGTAAACACATCGACGTGAAGTTCCACTTCCTCAGGGACTGTGTTAATGGAGGGCAGATCGTCATCGAGTTTGTCGAAACTGGTCGGTAACTCACGGACGTCCTCACCAAGCTACTCGGACGACTTTGACTCACGGAGCTGAAGGAGATGATCGGCATGGAGGGGGTGCAAGGGTTAGCAGTAGGATTAGGGGAAGATTGTTAGCTAATCTACTGCCACCTTGTGTGAACACAGCAGAGGAAGGTGGCGCTGACTTTGCCCCCTGCTGTGATACTATAGCCGCTGTAGGTGCAGGCGCCGCATGGCTCACCTGCAGCATTGTAGGCACATGCAGTGGCCGGCGCAGAGTCAACCCTGTATGCTTATCTAGTTACTATTATAGCATGTGAGCTATACTTTAGTTAGATAGATAGAGTTGTATAAATAGGGCACCAAGGCAACTCAGTAAAGAGAGCTCAGATTTGCCATCACACAGACAGGGTCTCGGCCAACGTTGTTGTCTTGTATTGTGCATGCTTGCTCTGTTCTCCCTTCTTCTTCTAGCTCGATCCGTAGTGTGTGAGTACAGACAAAGCCAATACGGTGGTCGGCACGGTTAGTGGTCTAGAGGCTGGAGACTAGTGGTCTGGGAGGCCAGGGGTCTGGAGACTAGTGGTCTGGAGGCTGGATACTAATGGTCTGGGAGACCAGGGGTCTGGAGACTAGTGGTCTAGAGGCTGGAGACTAGTGGTCTGGGAGGCTAGGGGTCTAGAGACTAGTGGTCTGGAAGGCCAGGGCTGTGAGGCTAGTGGTCTGGAGGCTATCTAGTTAATTGTCGTCAGACGGTGATCCCATAGGTCAACATAACTCACTTGAAAAAGAACAATGACCCTTAAGCTCTTGTTTCTGATCTCTTTAAGCATTTTTTTCAAGAAGCAATAATTTTCCCCTCACACATTCTATCGTTCGTAGATTCAATTATATCAACGAGGCAAGGGTGATTGCAGCACTATTACATAAAGCCAAGATGATACCAGAATCCGTGACAACATGAAAAACTTCAAAGAAAATGTGCGTAGTCATGCAAATTGCAAGGGTGGTGTCTACTTAGTACAGAAGAGAACATATATCTTGAAAACAAACCTTCCAAAGAGACATGACAACGTCACAAAGAGCTCCAACACCGTCAGTTGTCATTTGTGACTGCAGGACAGAGGAATTTGCAAGCAATATAGAAGAATAGAGTTCTAGCTGCACTTGTGAAAGGTAAGCCAGAACCCAATACTCCAAAAACTTTGAAGAACCTGCTTTTCGTTCATATGCAATATGGCATGTAAACCTTGCTCTCAACATAGCAAGGCTATCAGTCTCAATGTAATCTCCACTGTCTTCTTGTTCTGAGTTAAGGAAGTCTAGTAGCTTCTTGTACTCAGGAAGACTATCCTACAAAACAGCAAGAAACATGGAATTATTTGAGCACTGCTATAGAAGTGAAGATGTAGTTTAGAGCTGATGAAAGGCACCTTCAGTGGAGAGCTCAAAAGCACCATCCTAAAATCTGTTGGTAGTTGCTTGAGTTGTTTGAGGTGTTTTGCAACTGAGTCTTGACAATAATCAACAATAACTGACTCCCAAACAATGCCCTCTACACTTTTAATGTCCTGTGCCATAGTAGATAGGAAAATATCAAAATTAAATGAAACACAGTGTCGGTGTTTGAGTAAACGCCAACGAGTAAATTTGTGTTATTGCGCGTCTGGCCTGGATGATGTGCTAAAAAAGACACAAGGTTTATACTGGTTCGGGCAGAATGTCCCTACATCCAGTTCGTGGCTGCTGCTCGTGTTATTGGCACCGAAAAGTTCATGGGAGGGGTTACAAACGGGCGAGAGGGGGATAGTTCCCAAGTCTTTGATATGTAAAGGTCGAATGGGTGCTGAGAGCTTGATAGCTGCTCAGCTATGTGTGATGTGATGAGGGGGACAATTCCATAGTGGGGCGCCCTACCATCCCTTTTATAGACCAAGGAGAAGCAGGATTACAGATGGGAGAAAGAAGAAAAACTAGAGGCCAAGGAGGTCCTTCGAAGATGTCGGGTCTTTCTTTTGCTCTGAGTGAGCCCTCCCTGACATGGCAAATGATGGCAGGGATAACTCCATGCCGGGTGCATGTCCGCTGATCCTGATAGGTGCCGCGCTGGACGTCTACTCGCTGATGATGCCATGTTCTGGCTTGATCAGCAAGTGGTCACGTCCCATCCCGCCCCGGAGGGCGGCGCGACGGACCAGGGTGTTGATCCGTGACCCTACGGGAGCAGATGGCGCAGTGACTGCACGTCCGTCAATATAGACGATGCGAGTCTCCTCCTGGACCGTAGTGGTTGTCGTATTCTTCCATCAAGATCCACGCCTGAGGGCAAATGGCGGCCCCCACAACACTGTAAGACAAATGTCGACGCCTACAACACCGTTTGGGCTCTGACATGCCCAGAAGGGCTTAAAGCGCCAGTCTTGTCATATCCTAACGGTACTTTCCTACAGACGTGCAATGTATGGTCCTCGGTATTGCGGTTGACTTGAGTGCCCTGCCTTATCTGCGCACGTAGTTATGAAGGAGCAGCGCTTAGACATCGGGCGAGGTGGAGCCAGCCCCCGGACGTCGGGCGAGGCAGAGTCTGCCCTCAGACGTCGGGCAAGGTGGAGCCAACCCCCGGACGTCAGGCGAGGCAGAGCCAGCCCTCGGATGTTGGGCAAGGCAGAGCCAGCCTCTGAATGTTGGGCGAGGCGGAGTCTGCCCCAGATGTCGGGCGAGGTGGAGCCAGCCCCCGGACGTCGGGTGAGGCGGAGTCTGCCCTCAGACGTTGGACGAGACGGAGTCTGCCCTTAGACATCGAGTGAGGCGGAGCCAGCCCCCGGACATCGGGCGAGGCGGAGCCTACCCTCGGGGGTCAAGTGAGACAGAGTCTGCCCTTAGACATCGGGCGAGGCGGACAGACGAGGAGTGACCCGACAAGTGGTGTAGTCACGCTCTTGATCACGCGGATGAATCAATGTTGACGGTCATTAGCTCCTCCTCTTCGGGTACCCTAATATTGGTCCCCGACAGTAGCCCCCGAGCCCCCAGGCGATTCAAGTAGAATTGCCTGGGGGATTTTTTGACTTGTCAGTGGGTGCGCGCGAGCGCACCCGGTAGGTGTAGCCCCCAAGCCTGTGGAGGAGTAGAATACTCCTTCGGAGGGTTTTTTGAAAGAGAGGATTCTGAGAGCCCTGGCCCTCTATTGTTGCCCACGGTGTGCCCTGAAGATGGCGATTTTTTCTTTGCCGAGGTCAGTCCCTTCGTGGGTATGGTCGTGAGATTTGGTGGTTGTTTTAGCCTAATAGCTCAATTGGGATCCTGTTATCCCGTTCACGGGGATCCGGCCAGGGTCTGCCCGGCTGAGACTCAATCGCGGGCCGAGACTCCCGTGAAGCTCGTGCGCCTGAGTTTTGATCGCTCATGGGCCCATCCTTTGTCGTAAGGGTGCCTTGGGATGGCTGTCGAAACTGTTGATGGGCCAGCTCTCGAACTCCTGGGCCCAGGCGGGCCGGAGGAACGCTTTTTGACCCATACCCCTTTTGCTGGTAAAGAGTCCTGGTCTGCCTAGGGAGGCAAAACATCTAGCGCGCCTTCGGAGGGAAAGGATAGAGATTGCAGGTGCATATCCCGCAACATGACGTGGTGGCGGATTGTGGCAGGCGCGGACATCTAGGCGGACGGTTGCCTTCCTCACATCCGTTGCCCCTATAAAACCAAAGGATTCGCCCCTAGGGTTTCGTACTTTGCCTCCTTGCCTTTGCATCTACAACCCCCACCGCCAATTGCCTAAGCCTCCTGCATCCACGTCTTAGCCGTCATCGAATTCGCATCCACACACTCCAATCCTCCAATAGAGCCGTGGTGCCACTCCAATATCACCCTCCAGTGCCTGGAGGGCCTCGTTCGCCACGGTCTTCTTTGTGCGTGGACCGTCGCCGAGGAGTGGCGGCTGCCTGGTGATGAGGATGCGCCGCCGCCGCCCGACAGCTACGTCATGTCCTTCACTCACTTCCACAAGCGGGGATTCACCACCCCCACCCACAAGTTTCTTCGGGGTTTGCTGCACTACTACAAGGTAGAGCTGCAGCACCTTAATCCCAACGGAATCCAGCACATTGCGGCGTTCGTCGCCCTATGTGAGGGATTTCTGGGGATTAGTCCCCACTTCGACCTGTGGCGATACTTCTTCGTCGTCACCCTCCTAAAGAAGCAGGAGATGAAGCAGGAGCTGAATGTGCTAATGGGATGCGCCGGCATTCAGCTCTGCAACAACCGGGTCAGCGAGTACCCGCCGATGCATCTGTCGACCTCCAATAAGGGGTGGCATTCGTATTGGTTCTACGTCAAGAACGACGCATCCGCCCCCTTGCCAGAGTTCACCGGGCGCCTCATCGAAGAGGTCCTGGACTCGTGGAGGAAGTGGGGAGTCTCGAACAAAAAGACAAGAAGAGAATCCAAGACCATCTCGCCGCCATCCGAATCCTGAAGGAGAGGGGCGTGAAGGGGCCAGGGATCATCGGCGCCTACCACAAGCGGAGGGTGGTGCCGCTGATGAGGCACGCGCTTCCCCTACACATAATGGTGCTCAGGGCATCACTCGACGGGACGGTGCTCGCCGAGGGAGCGCTTTCCCCCTCTGAAGTGGCGTAGCGCATCAAGGAGGTGATGGAGCCTCCATGGGACGACGCCAGCGCTGTCCTCGACTTTGTGTATCCGGTGCCGAGGCACCCCCCCCCAATGTGGCTGGAACCAGGGTGCATCATCTTCGCAAGTTTTCTTTCGTCGTGCCTCCTTTTTAATTGAACTCCCGACCTCTTGGTGCTGATATTGAGATAGGGAGACCAACCAAAGAGACTCGTCCTTACAGATCACCCGGTTCCGTTGCCGAAGGACCCGTCTGTGACGGCGGCCAACCGTGCTGTGGCCGAGTGGCAGCGGAAGGCAAAGGAGGACGAGAGGAGGAAGAAGTAGCAGAAGCTGCGGGCATAGGAGCTAGGGGAGGACACGAATAGTGACGATGACGACGACGAGGAAGACGACAAGGTAGTTGCCGACACCAAGTGGGATGACCTGGAGAGCAAGGATACGCTGACAGGTATCCACTCATCATTGTAGGGACCCTTCCCGTTCCATGCAGGGGGAGGCGAGCCCATGAGACCAGAGGCGGGCGGTTCTGCCACCACGCCCAAGGTGCCAGCGGAGGGGAGCGGCCCCGCTGCCGTGCCTCAAGAGCCAGCAGGGGTGGGCGGATCCGCCGCTGCACCCCAAGAGCCAGCGGGGGTAGGTGGATCCGCCGCCGTGCCCGAGGTGCCAAGGGAGGGGGTGGCTCCGCCCCCGCCCCCCGGGTGCAAGGGAGGCGAGCCCCTCGGCCCGGGAGTAGGGGGCAGGCACAAAATGGCCCCGTCCCAAGGAGGCGGAGCAGGGACTTGGGGGTTCATCCCCCAAACTTATCCAACGCCCAACAGCGCCCCTGCTGGCCCTGCCGGCTCCACAGGCCTGAGCGCCCCACCGTGCCAACAGCAGCCTCACCGCGCTTCCACCAGCCACCAGGCCTCAAGCCTCGCCGCAGTCCTCTTCCTCGGCGCTGCCTCCGCACCCCTTCAAGTGGCTCATGCGCAGATGAGATGGTGGAGCGTCGCAAGCAAGGATTATGCTACAACTGCGACAAGCCGTACGTCCGCGGCCACAAATGCTCCCTTCTCTTCTACCTTGAGGTCTCTGACTACATTATCGAGGAGCCCAAGGATCCTGCTGAGGATGCCGCTGAACCCGCCGCACCGTTCAACCCCGAAACTCCAATGATCTTCCTTGCGGCCATCGCGGGCATCCTCACCGAGGACACGATGCATCTCTACATCACTATGGGCAACGAGCAGTTCACCGCCCTCCTCGACTCTGGCTCCACTCACAACTTCATCCGCGGTGACGTCATGCGCCGCGTGGGCCTCCAGTTCCAGGCTTGCGCGGGTGTGGGCGTCATCGTCGCCAACGGTGACCGTGTCGTGTGTCATGGCCTCGCCCGCAACATCAGCATCCAGATCGCCAATGAGATCTTCAACATTGATTGCTACTCCATACCCATCGACACATACGACATGGTGTTGGGGTCATGTTCCTACGCACCTTGGGCCCGATCCTCTAGGATTTTGATGATCTTTGTATGGCTTTCTGGCGTGAAGGTCGATGCATTTTTTGGCGCGGGATCGGCTCGACCTGCCATGATGTACAGTCCACGTGCCACCTCCATGCCATCTGCCACAACGAACCGGCCATGCTCGACCACCTTCTTCAGTCATTCGATGACATCTTCGCCACGTCGTAGGGGTTGCCGCCCACCGGACCCTCTGATCACCGGATTCATCTCTTCCCTAACACAGCACCAGTGGAGGTCCACCCATATCGCTATCCCTAGCTCCAAAAAGATGAGCTAGAGGCCCAGTGCGCCGCCATGCTCGAATAGGGCGTCATTTGGCCAAGCACGTTGGTTTTCTCCATGCCCGTGCTCCTCATCAAGAAACACGATGGTTCCTGGCGCTTTTGCATGGACTACCGCGCCTTGAACCAACAGACAGTGAAAGACAAGTATCCCATACCC